CCTGTCTCGAAGATGACCGGAGGGACCGGAGGTTGGAGCAATGAAAGAAGTACCGTAGAGGACTGCAGCTGCACCTGTGGAAGTTCATCACGCGTAAATTATGAAAGAAGCCAACAAAATTAAGTACGGATGATCATTAGTCATAGGTGTACTGCCGTTTTCCACTTGAGGGCCGGGGGGAACAGTGGGTAACTGAGGTGGTCACCCCACTCGTTCCATCTCACGACTGCAATAAATCCAACATATCCAACCCAAAGTTATCCAAAGCTTACTGATATCAGAAGCTGCCGCTTCTGAAGAGAAGTATCACTGGCTGAGTGCGGTTTTCGAACAAAAAAGGGCCAAACCAAAAGTTAAGCATTGAGAAGTTCCTCATGTGTGCAGCACAAACAAAACAGTTGATCTACGAAAGGAACTCATGGTTCAAATGGCACTGGCTAGCGCACGCTGTGATAGAAATTGGATCCCGATCCATCTCCATGGCCTGTGGCAGCAATAATGGTGCTTCGAGAAGTAGATGCCATCCTAAGCAGCGCTGAATAATCATAGAGTCCTAACAGAAAAATCCGAATGGAAATAGCCTCCGATCATCAAGCATAGCAATGGAAAAAATATCATGCTTGATTCGCGGGGGAACCAACATGTGTTTGGCCGGAATGAAATCATTGGCTGTTTCCACCCTTCCCATGTTGCCCACCTGGATTCGCTGCACAATCAAGTCACAATCAAAACCCTGCAGCTGAGAGTCGCTAACCTTCTAAAAAGGTCGGAAAGGAAACTGGCCAAAAATGCAAGTTGCTTCACCTGCACAGCCCTAAACAATAATAAGACCTGACAAAGATTGAGCCGAAAAAACCAATGGAATTTGTCCCTTGCAAACCATCTTGGATAACCAGGAGTGAAGTGCGCATGGTGCTCTGAAGGAACACTAAACAAAATAGTACCTGTATTGCGGACGGAAAAAAATATTTCGAATTTGGCAAAACCCCAAGATTTGACCTGTACCGGTACCCTTTTTGTGTGTAAATGGCTGACATTATTTCCCTCTTCACATGGCGCACAAACCTGTCATGTTCTTTTAACTATGAACCCCAACAAATCCAACCCAAGTACGACGCAAAGGAGCGCTGAATTTGCAATACAATGAACACACAATTTTGGGAAAAATACTGTAACCAAATTTGATCCAACTTGTGGTTGAAAGCGCAATGCGTGAAAAACACCGGCCTGGAAATACTGTAACAAATTGCCTTTCTGTTCGAAAAAAAAAATAACAGCAAATCGTAAGGATTGTTTAATGATGTTTCACATGTTCATAGGTTCCATACCACTGTTCCTCAGGAAACTGTTTGAAAACTATTTTGTCCATCTATATATATATATAACCATGATAGCATACATAGAATATGCCCGATTTCAACCCTGCGGGTGTGGACAGAAAAAAATATTTAGAATATTTGGGGTAGAAATATTTGGGGTAGAATTTTGGAGTGCATAAACAGCGCTAAAGCAAATACCATAGGAATAACGATATTCCCATATCGAAAACATGTGTGAAACCCAGCAGATTGCACATCTTTTGGGGTTTTGGGTAAGTTTTGCTTACTGCTTCCTTCACGCCCACGCACCTCTCGGGTAGCCAAGCGACGAGCGACAAGTTTTTGACTACACTTTGGTCAATTTCTTTTTATATTGTATTTAAAAAATGAATTTTTCAAGCTCGCCGAAGGGTACCTACCCCCCACGACCGGTGTCGGAGAACTATGAAAAAAAAACAATTTTGCAATGAAAACCAATGGAATTAGGTGGTGTTCCTCAAAAAAATGATGAATATTTTCACTGGGGACTATATTCTATGTATGTAGTTCTGCAAGGAATTGGGTCTCTTTCATGTATAAGGGTATATATCATATAGGTAATTCCCTTTGGGGAGGAGCAACCCTGGATGTCTGAAGTTCCTAAACTAGAACGTTCTAACAAAAAAAACCAGGTCCCCCGAAATGATCAATTTCTTTTTATATTGTATTAAAAGAAAAAAATCAAACTCACCAAACGGTACCCCCATGACCGGTGTCGGAGAACTATGAAAAAATCAATTTTGCAATGAAAACCAATGGAATTAGGTGGTGTTCCGGAAAAAATGGATGAACATTTTCACTGGGGACCTAAATTCTATGTATGTAGTTCTGCAAGGAATTGCGTCTCTTCCATGTAGAAGGGTATATATTATATACGTAATTGCCTTTGGGGAGTAGCAACCCTGGATGTCTGAAGTTCCTAAACTAGAACGTTCTAACAAAAGAAACCAGGGCCCCCGAAATGATCAATTTCTTTTTATATTGTATTTAAAAAATGAATTTGTCAAGCTCACCGAAGGGTACCCCCCCACCACCGGTCGTGGTGGGTACCGTTCGGTGAGTTTGAAAAACTATTTTTTTTTAATACAATATAAAAGAAATTGATCAATTCGGGGGCCCTTGTTTTTTTTGTTAGAACGTTCTAGTTTAGGAACTTCAGACATCCAGGGTTGCTACTCCCCAAAGGCAATTACATATATATATATATTTATAATATGCCCTTATACATGAAGGAGACCCAATTCCTTGCACAACTACATACATAGAATATAGGTCCCCAGTGAAAAATATTCATCCATTTTTTGACGAACACCACCTAATTCCATTGGTTTTCATTACAAAATTGTTTTTTTTCATAGTTCTCCGACACCGGTCGTGGGGGGTACCCTTCAGTGAGCTTGAAAAACTCATTTTTTTAATACAATATAAAAAGAAATTTATCATTTCGGGGGCCCTGGTTTTTTTTGTTAGAACGTTCTAGTTTAGGAACTTCAGACATCCAGGGTTGCTACTCCCCAAAGGCAATTACATATATATATAATATATTCTATGTGCCCTTATTGGAAGAGACGCAATTCCTTGCAGAACTACATACATAGAATTTAGGTCCCCAGTGAAAATGTTCATCCATTTTTTCCGGAACACCACCTAATTCCATTGGTTTTCATTGCAAAATTGATTTTTTCATAGTTCTCCGACACCGGTCATGGGGGGTACCCTTCGGTGAGCTTGAAAAACTCATTTTTTAAATACAATATAAAAAGAAATTGATCATTTCGGGGGACCTGGTGTTTTTTGTTGAAATGTTCTAGTTGAGGAACTTGAGACATCCAGGGTTGCTACCCCCCAAAGGGAATTACGTATATGATATATACCCTTATACATGAAAGAGACCCAATTCCTTGCAGAACTACATACATAGAATATAGGTCCCCCGTGAAAATATTCATCATTTTTTTGAGGAACACCACCCAATTCCATTGGTTTTCATTGCAAAATTGTTTTTCTTCATAGTTCTCCGACACCGGTCGTGGGGGGTAGGTCCCCTTCGGTGAGCTTGAAAAACTCATTTTTCCCGAGAGCGTCTGAGCGCAGGGTTCTTCCAATAGTGGTCTGTATCTCATCTTCTCATCTTCACACCTTCTCATCTTTAGACCTTCTCATCTTCACATCTTCTCGTCTTCACATCTGCTCATCTTCACATCTTCTCATCTTCACATCTGCTCATCTTCACATCTTCTCATCTTCACATCTGCTCATCTTCACATCTTCTCATCTTCACATCTGCTCATCTTCACATCTGCTCATCTTCACATCTGCTCATCTTCACATCTTCTCATCTTCATATCTGCTCATCTTCACATCTTCTCATCTTCACATCTGTTCATCTTCACATCTTCTTATCTTCACATCTTGTCATCTTCACATCTGCTCATTTTCACGTCTGCTCATCTTCACATACTCACATCTTCTCTTTCTCTCTCTCGCACTCACATCTTCACATACTCACATCTTCTCTCTCTCTCTCTCTCCTCTTTCCTCTCTCCTTTCTCTCTCTCCATTCTCTCTGCTTTCTCTCTCTCCTTTCTCTCTCCCTTTTCTCTCTCTCGCCTTCTTTATCTTTCTCTCTTTAGGCCGACGGTGGTGCCGGCGGGGAGTCACGAAACGTCAACCCTTTCGCACGAAATGAGGGTCGATGCGCAAAAACTGAGGTAAAATTGCGATTTTACTTGTTTGGAAATGCTACCAAACCCTCGCGTTTTGCTGACTTTTGACGAGGTGCAGAATCCCTTGCGGATGCCACGCAAAACCACATCTGAACCAAACTTTCAAAAGTCGTCCGAGCATGTGGTGCTTTTAACATTTTGACTTGGAAACGTGCTTTGCGCAACAACGGCGTGCACTTGTTCGACATGTCAACTTCCAAAAGTGGTCCGAGGGCTGACGTGCTTTGTACATTTTGACTTGGACATGTGCTTCGCGCCTAACAGCGTGCACTTTTTCGACATCTCAACTTCCAAAAATGGTCTGAGACCGTCAGTCTTTTACACTTTTGGCTTCGAAATGTGCTTCGCGCCACAGCGGAGTGCACTTTTGCGACATCTCAACTTCCAAAAGTGCTCCGAACCTGAGGTGTCTTTAGCTTTTTCACTTGCAAACGTGCTTCGCGCCACAACGGCGTGCAACTTGTCATCTCTCATCTGGCCAGACGGCTCCGCACCCGCCGCTTTAGCGAGCCTACTTGTCGACCCTCCGGAGCCACAAATCATTGGAAAAACACAGTGAATCGCGACTTTCCTACCTTTTCACGCACCTGCATCTTCTTTCTTCTCACTCTTTCTCTTCTCTGATCTTCTCTCTTCTGCTCTTCTCCCTCCTCTCTGACTCTTGCCACCTCTGCTTTTCCATCTGTCCATATTGTCGGAAGTTTGACTTCTAAACTTCCTTCGGTCAAAAGAAATAACTCGAAACTCCGCTCATTTTCACCTTTACACTTTACACCTACTGATGCCAAGACAGATCTGCAAGTCAGCCCTGGTATTTTTTTCAAGTCCAGATCTGCACAGGTTCATCTAGACTGATACCAGATCCCAGAAGGTTTCCAGGATCTCGAATTGTAGCTAGCAATGGCGTGCAAACAACTCAACGCAAAGGCGAAGCAGTGTAGTTGGCCCAGTCACCCCAGGCGCTTCCGGTCAAGCCATCCTGGCAACATGGACAAGCTGTGAATGGGCAAACCCGCATGGCCAAAGCATACATACATACCTACCTACCTACCTACGTACCTACGTACGTCCGTACGTGCATGCATGTATGCAGTACATACATTACATACATTAAATACATTATATGGGTTACATACATTACAAACATCACATACATTACATACATACCATACATACCACACATACCCTTACATGCCCTTGCATTACATACCCTTGCATTACATGCCCTTACATTACCTGAACTTACATTCCTACCCCTACATTACATAACCTTACATGACATACCCTTACTTGAGGTACCCTTACATGGCATACCACCGCATTACATACAATTACGCTACACATATGCACATGCATATGCATCTGGATTTACTGAACATTTACAATTTTATAAATATACATTTGCTTTACATTTTCATACGCATTTACATTTACATATACATAAACAAATACAAATACAAACAAATATAAATTCATACATTCATACATTCCATACACTCCATACAGTACATACATTTGACGCAGTCGATACATTACATTACATCAGATTGCATCTGGTGACACTACATTACATTGAACTTACATTTACATTTACACTTACATGTACATTACATTACATCCGTGCAAAAAGAACATATATTACATACATTGCATGCATTACATACAGTACATACATTACATAGATGACATACAGTACATACATTGCATACATCACACACACGACGTGCATGACAAACATTGCATTCAATACGTACATTGCATACAATACATACTTTACATTCAATACATACTTTACATTCAATACATACATTGCACACAATACATACGTTACATTACATTGCATTTCATTACATTACATCACAGTACATTGCATTACACCACGTTACATTTCGCCACATCACTTCACACTACATCACATTACACTACAGTACAGTACATCAAATACAATACATGCATTACAAAGCGTAACATAGCATCACAAAACAAACAAAACATAACTTTGCAAAAACACAAAAACACAAAGAAAGAAACAAGCAAGCAAACAAACCAACTTACAACCATCCATCTGTCCATCCATGCATGCATACATATGTACGTACATACCGAAAAACATACACACATACACACATACACACATACACGCATACAACATACACACATACAACATGCACACATACACAGATACACACACACACAGACAGACAGACAGACAGACAGACAGCCAGCTAGCCAGCCAGCCAGCCAGGCAGGCAGAGACAGACAGAGACAGACAGAGACAGACAGAGACAGACAGAGACAGACAGAGACAGACAGAGACAGACAGAGACAGACAGAGACAGACAGAGACAGAGACAGACAGAGACAGACAGAGACAGACAGAGACAGACAGAGACAGACAGAGACAGACAGAGACAGACAGAGACAGACAGAGACAGACAGAGACAGACAGAGACACACAGAGACAGACAGAGACAGACAGAGACAGACAGAGACAGACAGAGACCGACAGAGACCGACAGAGACAGACAGAGACAGACAGAGACAGACAGAGACAGAGACACACACAGACAGAGACACACACAGACAGAGACAGACACAGACAGACACAGACAGACAGAGACAGACACAGACAGACAGAGACAGACACAGACAGACAGAGACAGACACAGACACAGACAGACACAGACACAGACAGACACAGAGACACACAGAGACACACAGAGACACACAGAGACACACAGAGACACACAGAGACACACAGAGACACACAGAGACACACAGAGACACACAGAGACACACAGAGACAGACAGAGACAGACAGAGACAGACAGAGACAGACAGAGACAGACAGAGACAGACAGAGACAGACAGAGACAGACAGAGACAGACAGAGACAGACAGAGACCGACAGAGACAGACAGAGACCGACAGAGACCGACAGAGACAGACAGAGAACCGACAGAGACAGACAGAGGACAGACACGACAGACAGAGACAGACAAGAGACAGACGAGACAGAGACAGACCAGAGACATAGACAACAGAGACGAGCAGACAGGACAAAGAGACAAGACGAGACAGAGACAGACAGAGACAGAGACAGAAAAACAGAGAGAACAGAGACAGACAAGACAGAGACAGACATAGACAGAACACCCACAGAACAGAGACACACACGACAGAGACACACACAGACAGAGACACACACAGACAGAGACACACACAGACAGAGACACACACAGACAGAGACACACACAGACAGACACAGACACAGACAGACACAGACACAGACAGACACAGACACAGACAGACACAGACACAGACAGACACAGACACAGAGACACAGAGAGACACACAGAGACACAGAGAGACACACAGAGACACACAGAGACACAGAGAGACACACAGAGACACACAGAGACACACAGAGACAGACAGAGACAGACAGAGACAGACAGAGACAGACAGAGACAGACAGAGACAGACACAGACAGAGACAGACAGAGACAGACACAGACAGACACAGACAGAGACAGACAGAGACAGACAGAGACAGACAGAGACAGACAGAGACAGACAGAGACAGACAGAGACAGACAGAGACAGACAGGGACAGACAGGGACAGACACATACATACAGAGACAGACACATACATACAGAGACAGACACACACACACACACATACATACACATACATACACACACATACATACACATACATACACATACATACACATGCATAGACATGCATAGACATACATACACATACATACACATACACACACATACATACACATACATACACATACGTACACATACATACACATACATACACATACATACACATACATACACATACATACACATACAGACACATACAGACACATACATACACATACAGTACAAAACAAAACAATACAATACAATACAATACAATACAAACCTTGCAAACTATACATACATACCATACCATACCACACCAAAACATAACAAAACAAAACATACCCTTAGAAAAAAAATCATAACATAACATACATTACATAACATAACATAGCATAGCAAAACAAAACATAAAATAACATTCATACATACATACATACATACATACACTACATAGGGACGGGGGTCACATTCGCCCCTGAAAGAGGGTCACATTCGCCCCTGAACCAAAAGGGGTCACACTCGCCCCTGAACCACAATACTTTCAATGTGGTACTCAACCCTTTAGGGTTAAACCTGGGGACAAGGGGACATTTAGGGGGACTGGGGAACCTTTAGGGGGACTTGGGGGCATATGGTAACTTGCCTCTCTATTCAATATGCTGCTCAACCCTTTAGGGTTAAACCTGGGGACAAGGGGACATTTAGGGGGACTGGGGAACCTTTAGGGGGGACTTGGGGGCATATGGTAACTTGCCTCTCTATTCAATATGTTACTCAACCCTTTAGGGTTAAACCTGGCGGCAAGGGGACATTTAGGGGGACTGGGGAACCTTTAGGGGGGACTTGGGGGCATATGGTAACTTGCCTCTCTATTCAATATGTTACTCAACCCTTTAGGGCTAAACCTGGGGACAAGGGGACATTTAGGGGGACTGGGGGACCTTTAGGGGGGACTTGGGGGCATATGGTAACTTGTCTCTCCATTAAATATGTTACTCAACCCTTTAGGGTTAAACCCGGGGACAAGGGGACATTTAGGGGGTCTGGTTTAGGGGGGACTTGGCGGCATATGGTAACTTGCAGCTCTATTCAATATGTTGCTCAACCCTTTAGGGTTAAACCTGGGGACAAGGGGACAACATCCAAAGCATCTTCGAAGTTTCTCGACATGGATGTTACAACGTAGCAACGGTACACCGTAGCATCCATAGTGTCCTGGAAGTTGATTCAAATGGCTGTTGGAACGTAGCATCCAAGGCGTCTTCCAAGTTGCTCGAAATGGATGTTACAACGTAGCATCCATAGCGTGCTGCTAGTTGATTGAACTGGCTGTTGGAACGTAGCATCCAGTTCAATCCAAAGTGTCTTCCAAGTTGCTCGAAATGGGTGTTACAACGTGGCATCCATAGCGTGCTGGAAGTTGATTGAAATGGCTGTTGGAACGTAGCATCCAAAGCATCTTCGAAGTTGCTCGAAATGGATGTTACAACGTAGCAATGGTACACCGTAGCATCCATAGTGTCCTGGAAGTTGATTGAAATGGCTGTTGGAACGTCGCATAACACGTGAATATGACTCTCTAGGGAGGAAAAATCCTTTTGAGGCTCTGAAACCATTACGCCTGCCACGCAAAAGCAGGGGTCACATTCGCCCCTGAACGAGGGTCACATTCGCCCCTGAACCCACTTCATCCCACTTCATTCAGGGGCAAATGCGGCCCAACATGGTTCAGGGGCAAATGCGACCCCCGTGCCAACTACATACATTACATACATACATACATACATACATACATACATTCATACATTCATACATTCATACATACATACGTTAATTAATTAGTTACATACATACATACATACATACATACATACATTAATTGATTACACACATACACACATTACACACGCATACACACATTACATACTTACACGCATACATACATACATACATACATACATACATACATACATACATACATACAAACATACATGCATACATACATACATACATACATACCTACATACATACATACATTACTTACATACATACATACATACATTACTTACATACATACATACATACAGACATACAGACATACAGACATACAGACATACAGACATACAGACATACACAGACATACATACATGCAAACATACACACATACATACATACATACATACATACATACATACATACACAGACATACATACATGCATACATACATACATACATTACATGCATTACATACATTACATACATTACATTACATACATTACATACATTACATGCATTACATACATTACATACACTACATACATTACATACAGTACATACATTACATACATTACATGCATTACATACATTACATACATTACATGCCTTATATACATTGCATACACTACATTACATACATTTCATACATTTCATACATTACATACATTACATACATTACATACATTACATACATTACATACATTACATTCATTACATACATTACATACATTACATACATTACATGCATTACATACACTACATACATTACATACATTACAAGCATTACATACATTACATACATACATACATACAAACATACATTACATACATTATATACATTGCATACATTACATTACATACATTACATACATACATACATACAAACATACATAAATACATACATACATTAATTAGTTATATACATACATACATTAACTGATTACACACATTACACACGCATACACACATTACACACTTACACACTTACATACATACATACATACATACATTACATTACATTACATTACATTACATTACATTACATACATACATACATTTATTAGTTACATACATACATACATTAATTGATTACACACATACACACATTACACACGCATACACACATTACATACATACATACATACATACATACATACATTACATTACATTACATTACATTACATTACATTACATTACATACATTACATACACTACATACATATTATACATAACATACATAACATACATAACATACATAACATACATAATATACATAATATACATTACATTACATTACATTACGTTACATTGCATTTCATTACATTACATTACGTACATACATGCATGCATACATACATACATTACATACATACGTTACATACATACATACATACCATACCATACCATACCATACCATACCATACCATACATTACATTCATTGCATACATTGCATACATTGCATACATTACATACATTACATACATTACATACATTACATACATTACATACATACATACATACATACATACATACATGCACATTCGAAAGTTACAAGTCCCAATCTCCCTCCAGCTCAAGGGTACGCGTCTCCCTCAAGAAAACTGGTGTTGCCTGAGATTGGCCATAATTATACGGCTGGGTTTATATATGAATACATATGTATAGACTGCCATTCTTCTATTTTATCTCACATGGAGCCAGAATTAATCAATAATTTGATTTGTTGGAACTGCAAAGGCTGCATCGGAAAATCCATCGGTCCCGTACAGTACAGATTCACCATTCCCTCGTTGCTGGCTCAGTGCCACGTAGCTGGCTCAATGCCTCGTTGCTGGCTCAGCGCCTCGTAGCTGGCTCAATTTTCTTGAACGAAACAAAAAAGCGAAAAAAAAATTGAGCCAGCTACATGCCCTTGAGCCAGCTCGGTGTGCCGACATTATCCCGGCCAATACATATTGTGTATTCGTTTTTGAGCTTTCACATTCGTTCGCCAGCTCAACGTGACGTAGCTGGCTCAATTTTTCGAGTTGTTTTTCTTTTTTCGTGCTTTTTTTCGTTCAAAAAAATTGAGCCAGCTCGATGCCATCGAGCTAGAGCGATGTGTTTGAGCTAGCGCGGTGTTGCTGAGGTAGCTCGTTCCACTTGAGCGAGCCGCCAGGTTCAGTCCCAAATATTTCGTTTAATAGAGATGGTACCCCTGTTGCAGCCCAGAAATTTAGGAGCCACGTTTTGGGCCAAATCTGCTTAGACAGCAGTACAACATTAAAGTCAAACACGTGACCCCTTCTGAAATTGAGCCAGCTACATGTTTTGAGCTAACTCGAAAATGAGGAAGATTGTGGATTGCTACATTCAATACATACATACATACATTACATTACATTACATTACATTGCATTACATTACATTACATTACATACATACATACATTACATACATTCATTACATTCATTCATTACATACATTCATACATACATTCATTACCTACATACATTACATACATTCATTACATACATTTATTACATACATTCATTACACACATTCACTTTATACAGTCATTACATACATTCATTACATGCATTCATTACATACATTCATTACATACATTCATTACATACATTCATTACATACATTCATTACATACATTCATTACATACATTCATTACATACATACATTACATACATACATTACATACATACATTACATACATACATTACATACATACAAAACATACGTACATACATACAAACATACAAACATACCTACCTACCTACCTACCTACCTAACATACATACATTACATACATACATACATACATTACATACATACATTACATACATACATTACATACATACAAAACATACGTACATACATACATACATACATACAAACATACATTACATACCTACCTACCTACCTACCTACCTACCTACCTAACATACATACATACACACATACATACACACATACATACATACATACATACATACATACATACATACATACATACATACATACATTACATTACATTACATACATACATACCTACCTACCTACCTACCTACATACATACCATACATACATACCATACATACATACATACATACATACATACATACATACATACATACATACATACATACATACATTACATACATACATACATACATACATTACATTCATTCATACATACATACATACATTACAATACAATACAATACATTACATTACATTAATACATTACATTACATTAATACATACATCCATCCATCCATACATACATACATACAGTACATACATAAAGTACATACATACATACATACATTACATTACATTACATTACATTACATTACATACATACATACATTACATGCATTACATGCATTACATACATTACATACATACATTACATACATTCATTACATACATACATTACATACATACATTACATACATCCATACATCCATACATAATACCATACCATAGCAGACCAGACCAGACCATACCATACATACATACCATACATACATCCATACATCCTTACATCCATACATCCATACATCCATACATCCATACATCCATCCATACATCCATACATCCATACATACATACATACCATACATACATACATACATACATACATACATACAGACATACAGACATACAGACATACAGACATACATACATACATACTACCATAACATACCATAGGAGACCCGACCAGACCATACCATACCATACATACATACCATACATACATCCATACATCCTTACATCCATACATCCATACATCCATACATCCATACATCCATACATCCATCCATAGATCCATACATCCATACATACATACATACCATACCTTACCTTACCTTTCCTTACCTTACCTTACATTACATTACATTCCATTGCGTTGCATTGCATACATACATTACATACCATACCATCCCATACCATACCAAACATACATAACATACATAACAAAACATAACATAACATAACATACATAACATACATAACATACATCATATACATAACATACATAACATGCATAACATACATAAAATAACATACCATACATAACATACAAAACATACAAAACATACATAACATACACACCATACATAACATACATAACATACATAACATACATCACATACATAACATACATAACATGCATAACATACATAACATACATAACATGCATAACATACAAAACATACATAACATACACACCATACATAACATACATAACATACATTACATACATTACAAGCATTACATACATTACATACATTACATACATTACATACAGTACATACAGTACATACATTACATACATTACATACATTACATACATTACATACATTACATACATTACATACATTACATAGATTACATAGATTACATAGATTACATAGATTACATACATTACATACATTACATACATTACATACATTACATACATTACATACATTACATACATACATACATTACATACATTACATACATTACATACATACATACATGCATACATACATTACATTACATTACGTTACATTACTTAACATTACATTACATTACATTACATTACAAAACATAACATAACATAACATTACATTACATACATACATACATTACTAAAGTACGTACATGCATATTTACATACATACATAACATACATGCATATATACATAACATGGCAAAACATAACATAACTTAACATAACATAACTTATAACTTAACATAGCATAACATAACTTCACATAACATACATACATACATTACCTACATTACATTACAATACATTACACTACGCTACATTACATTACATTGTGTTATAATACAATACATTACATAGCATACATACATACAGACATACATACCTACATACAAAGGCATGCGGCACCAGATTCCTGACATGACTTTAAACCGCGACTCTTCAATACTCTGATATATACCTGGCAAGGTGTAATTGACACAACGAAGCGAATTCCGAAAGGTCAAAGCTTTTCGCCGCATCCTACCTGGAAAAACATACCGATGATAGCCATCATCGCCAGTCTTCCGTTTGCAATTTCGGCATTGAGCTTCTTGGTTTTCTCAGCTGGGTCAGCCGCGGTCAACACCTTGAATCCAAAGTCTCCAGCATATGCATCAGTTCCTGGGGTCTGTTCCTGGGAGACTTCGCAGAAAGCCATGTAGGCCAAGATCTGACCCCATCCTCCAGGGTTGGCATATGGGCTTCTAAACTATACCAACCCACATAAACCAGCAAAACACATCTTACAGTGTATGTCTAGGGAGGTGTACGTCTATCGTGTATCCACAAAGGTATCAACCAACTTTAACTTCTCACACACATATATATATACATTTAAATTGTATTTACATGATTTTACATTATATATTTGGATATATGTGGCTTTGATGTTCAGATGGAGCCAGTTGCTTCAACCCTGTCCTGCAGCTGGGACCTTTGAGATGGCAGCCAAACCATTAGGCACATCGGCGAACTTCAAACCAGCTGATGGAGATAAGTAGCCAGGGAATTTGCCAGTGATCTCCTGGGGATTGTTCCATCAAGAAAAACAAACTGCCAGTAGATTCCGCAACTATACAGTGTAATTGCAGACATGGAAACGTTAACAAAAAACATACTGTACTGAAACGATCTTAAACGCAGCTCCAGCATTGCCAAGTCACTGGGGTGATGTATCCCATGGTGGCCAACATCGAAATGCGACCATGCTTGATCTCGGTAGCACGACGTCGCTTGAAGTCCTCCACGCTTCCGTCGGCCGTGAAACCTGCGGGATCCCAGAAGCCCACGGGGGCCTGCACGCCGAGTTCATTCTCGAAGGCGCGCAAAGGAGATGCTGTGTAGTTGGCCCAGTCTCCCCAGGCGCTTCCGGTCAGACCATCCTGGGGCATGGCAGTCATTGCAAGGATCAAAAGCAAAGGGTAGTAGTACCAAGATATCATGAAATATCAATGTTTTCATAGATGCTTCTATGACTATCACAGTACCAATATATATATATATAGATAAATCGAATGATATGATACAACATGATGTGATATGATATGGTGTGATATGCAAAGCTATTTGTGCATACACATTTGGTCACTAAAACGAATATCACTCATCAAATCTGCCATGTCTTTGCGCATGCTTCGACACTATGATATCAAATTCACAATCTGATCGTGTCACTACTCTCTTTCCAGGTACTGGTACAGTCTACAACTCATCTTACTGGTAAGCGTGTGTAAATATACAAATGACATAGCACTGTAGCACGCTGTGGCGCAGTATGTTGAAACAATCTCAAACAATCAAACATGCGATCAAAATATAGCTGGCAAGAAACAAACTTCAGAAACTCAGAACACACCAAGCAGAATCTCACAAAGTTGTGCTTCCTTATTCAGACCCTTTGTGGTGTTTTGTTCTTGGTGAGTTGGAACAAACAATACGCGCACAGCGCCTATCCCCGCCTGGAAAAACATGCCGATGATGGCCATCATCGCCAGTCTTCCGTTTGCAATTTCGGCATTGAGCTTCTTGGTTTTCTCAGCTGGGTCAGCCGCGGTCAACACCTTGAATCCAAAGTCTCCAGCATATGCATCAGTTCCTGGGGTCTGTTCCTGGGAGACTTCGCAGAAAGCCATGTAGGCCAAGATCTGACCCCATCCTCCAGGGTTGGCATATGGGCTTCTAAACTATACCAACCCACATAAACCAGCAAAACACATCTTACAGTGTATGTCTAGGGAGGAGTACGTCTATATCCACAAAGGTATCAACCAACTTTAACTTCTCACACACACACATATATATATATATACATTTAAATTATATTTACATGATTTTACATTATATATTTGGATATATGTGGCTTTGATGTTCAGATGGAGCCAGTTGCTTCAACCCTGTCCTGCAGCTGGGACCTTTGAGATGGCAGCCAAACCATTAGGCACATCGGCGAACTTCAAACCAGCTGATGGAGATAAGTAGCCAGGGAATTTGCCAGTGATCTCCTGGGGATTGTTCCATCAAGAAAAACAAACTGCCAGTAGATTCCGCAACTATACAGTGTAATTGCAGACATGGAAACGTTAACAAAAAACATACTGTATTGAAACGATCTTAAACGCAGCTCCAGCATTGCCAAGTCACTGGGGTGATGTATCCCATGGTGGCCAACATCGAAATGCGACCATGCTTGATCTCGGTAGCACGACGTCGCTTGAAGTCCTCCACGCTTCCGTCGGCCGTGAAATCTGCGGGATCCCAGAAACCCACGGGGGCCTGCACGCCGAGTTCATTTTCGAAGGCGCGCAAAGGAGATGCTGTGTAGTTGGCCCAGTCTCCCCAGGCGCTTCCGGTCAGACCATCCTGGGGCATGGCAGTCATTGCAAGGATCAAAAGCAAAGGGTAGTAGTACCAAGATATCATGAAATATCAACGTTTTCATAGATGCTTCTATGACTATCACAGTACCAATATATATGGTTCAACCGTCACTTGCGGCAGTAAGATTCGATCACTTGGGGCAGTAAGATTTTCGATCACTTGCAGCAGTAAGACTCTTGTAAGACGATTCAAAACCAATCACTTGCGGCAGTAAGATTCCGGAACGTTCATGTTAATGGTGGGGTGGGGTGGGATAATAACGTTCATGTTCCTGTACACACACAGGCACGGCAACAGGCACTGCTCTTTCATCATCAGCTACTGCTGGGGTGGGGTGGGGTGGGGTGGGATAATAACGTTCATGTTCCTGTACACACACAGGCGCGGCAACAGGCACTGCTCTTTCATCATCAGCTACTGCTGGGGTGGGGTGGGGTGGGGTGGGATAATAACGTTCATGTTCCTGTACACACACAGGCGCGGCAACAGGCACTGCTCTTTCATCATCAGTTACTGCTGGACAACGTGGTTCGAGGGACCCTGCGTATCTTTCAGGCAATGAAATTCTAGTGAAAAAACCTTTAACAAACCAGCCTGCCTCTAGTTCCTTCAACACAGCAGCTTTCTGTGATCTGAGCAACCCGGTGGCTAGCACAAGTGAGATCCAAGAATGCATGCAGAAAGAATGAGAGCAGTAAAATATCAGGAGACGCAACCATTCAAGACAGCAAAATTCTTTCATCCAGCTTTCTGGCCGGGTGACTCTCAGCTACTTACAGAAGCTTCAATAAGGCTATAGATGCTGTCTGTTCTCCATGATGGTGAGAAACGCGGTGAAGCTTCACCACGGGCAGTTCCACACGTAACAAACAAGGACAATGTAGTAGCAAGATACCCCAAACAGTTTGGGGCAAGTACAAAAAGTACTAGAGTGTAGATGAAAATGATGAAGATGATGAAGATGATGATGATGATGGTGATGATGATGACGACGATGATGATGATGACGATGACGGCAAAGAGGAGGAGGGAGGAGGATGAGAATGATGATGATGATGATGATGTTGTTGAAGCTGATGACGATGATGATGATGGTGGTGATGATGATGTTGATGATAATGACGATGATGCTGCTGATGATGATGATGATGATGACGATGATGATGATGATGATGTTAACGATGATGTTGATGATGACGATGATGATGGTGATGATGATGTTGAGGAGGAAGATGATGATGATGATGATGACAATGATGACGATGATGATGAGGAGGAGAAGAAGATTAATGATGATGTGCTAGCCTACGGCAGGAAAACCGTACGTGCGTTTTGCTTCTTTTTTGAGTATTGCTCTTTGTCTTGGGGTTGGGGTGGCGTGGGGTGGGGGGGGCATGTTAACGTTCCTTGTACTTCGTACATGAATGTACATGATATATTGCCATGTTGCTAAGATCTCTGGGATCTTTTACTACGTTACGTGTTGCTACGCTGCTGAGATCTCTAGTGTGGGTTGGGGTGGGGGGGCATGTTAACGTTCCTCGTACTTCGTACAGGATATATTGCCATGTTAGTGTGGGTTGGGGTTGGGGTGGGGTGGGGTGGGGGGCATGTTAACGTTCCTTGTACTTCGTACAGGATATATTGCGATGTTGCTAAGATCTCTGGGATCTTTTACTATGTTACATGTTGCTACGCTGCTGGTATCTCTGAGATAGTTTCCTACGTTACATGTTGCTACGCTGCTGGTATCTCTGAGATAGTTTCCTACGTTACATGTTGCTACGCTGCTGAGATCTCTGGGATCTTTTACTACGTGACATGTTGCTACGCTGCTGAGATCTCTATGATCGTTTACTACGTTACAGGTTGCTACGCGGTTGGTATCTCCGAGATCGTTTACTAAGGTACATGTTGCTACGCTGCTGGTATCTCTGAGATAGTTTCCTACGTTACATGTTGCTGCGCTGCGTATGGGTTTGGGTGCGGTAGTGATGCATAGGTTGACAGCTTCCACACTGATGGATCGCTGAGCCGACGAAGAGTGTGAAAAAAAATCTGCGCATCCACGTCTGATGCACATGATGTTTACCTGGATTTGTTAAAAATCAATAGATTTTGCATCCACTTTTTTAAACCCAAATTCAGTTATCCAAACTGATCGGAGGAGCATTTTATATTGTAAATTACAGGTGATTGTGACTCTCCTGGAAGCAACCAATCAAAACGCTCGCGCGGTTTCCCTTCCGCCGGGATGTGCTAGGTATGTAAGTAAAGTTTCCACCCTAAACCCTCCCATGGAAATACACGGATCACTACGCTCGCTCAACAGCTACAAGTCTAGTCGCGGTCGCGCCGTTCTATATAAATCCTAACGTGAGGCTATTGCCATGGTATCTATAACCAATATATCAACCACGAAAAGACATGAAAAACACAGCCGAGCTGAAATTCCACCTGGATAAAAGTCGGTCTTTCTTTTTCTGCTTTCATTCATTCTCTCTGGGTTGGATTCACACCAAATGCTATCAAAAGCCATATGTTTTACCTATGGTAACCGAGTCGAATAGCCCCCTAAAAAGTTGCTCCAACCCTCTTTTTGATCCCCTTAAAAGGATACAGACATGATCTAAACTTCAATCGAGACATCAGTAAAAACAGTGAAATCCTGCACGACAGAAGTTAACATAAACCTTCTGTACGTCAGCGTTGCAATGGTTCCAGTGAATGTGTAGAAATCACATGGATAGAAGACAAGTATGTGCGCAAGTGCTGCAAAGCAGCTTACTGCCACAAGCGATTGGTTTTTATACCCTGGCATCAAGGACACCCACTTACCGCCACAAGCGACAAATTTCTACCGCCACAAGCGATTGAAAAAAAGAAACCGCGATCTTACTGCCACAAGCGATTAGGCCTTGAAATGCTGCACCTGCGACGCAAAAACAGCAATCACCCGCGGCACTAAAAAAATAACTTGCGGCGGTAAAAAATGAACGTTCTTTCTGCCACAAGCGATTGGGGCATCTTACCGCCACAAGCGAAGTACGAGCCATATATATATATATAGATAGATAAATCGAATGATAGGATACAACATGATGTGATATGATATGGTGTGATATGCAATGCTATTTGTGTATACACATTTGGTCAACAAAACGAATATCACTCATCAAATCTGCCATGTCTTTGCGCATGCTTCGACACTATGATATCAAATTCACAATCTGATCTTGTCACCACTCTTTCCAGGTACAGTCTACAACTCATCTTACTGGTAAGCGTGTGTAAATAAACAAGTGACATAGCACTGTAGCATACCGTAGCGCAGTATGTCGAAACAATCTCAAACAATCAAACACGCTATGTGCTGAAAATATAGCTGGCAAGAAACAAACTTCAGAAACACAGAACACACCAAGCAGAATCTCACAAAGTTGTGCTTCCTTATTCAGACCCTTTGTGGTGTTTTTTTCTTGGTGGGTTGGAACAAACAATACGCGCACAGCACCTATCCCCGCCTGGAAAAACATGCCGATGATGGCCATCATCGCCAGTCTTCCGTTTGCAATTTCGGCATTGAGCTTCTTGGTTTTCTCAGCTGGGTCAGCCGCGGTCAACACCTTGAATCCAAAGTCTCCAGCATATGCATCAGTTCCTGGGGTCTGTTCCTGGGAGACTTCGCAGAAAGCCATGTAGGCCAAGATCTGACCCCATCCTCCAGGGTTGGCATATGGACCTCTAAACTAAGCCAACACACATAAACCAGCAAAACACATCTTATAGTGTATGTCTAGGGACCAGTACATCTATCGTGTATCCACAAACATATCAACCAAGTGTACCGGATTTTCCATATACCAGTAGTACCCCACCAGGCGGTGGCGGAAGTTTTCAAAGATAGGACACTATAGGAGAGGTGAGTTGATGCATGGATGGCAGAGCGAATCCACTTACGGACCGAAACGTGGTTGGAGTTGTGTTTTTTGGAGTGGTTGCAATGGTTGCAGTGGTCACCTCACCCGCAACTGCTGAATGTAGTGTGTTGTAGTGCAGTTGTAGTTGTAGCGTGATGGCATTGTAGTTATAGTGTAATGTAATTAGGGTAGTGTAGTTGCAGTTGTAGTTGTGGTGTGGTGTAATGAGCGTAGCGTAATGTAATGTAGTGTAATGTAATGTAGTGTAATGTAATGTGATGTAGATTTGTGTGTTGTAGAGTACTCTAGTGTAGCGTAGTGTGGTGTAGTGTAGTGTAGTGTAGCGTAGCGTAGTGTAGCGTAGTGTAGTGTAGGGTAAGGTAGGGTAGTATAGGGTAGTGTAGGGTAGGTGTAGGTGTAGGTGTAGGTGTAGGTGTAGGTGTAGGTGTAGGGTAGTGTAGTGTAGTGTAGTCAAATTAGTGCAATGTAGTGTAGTGTAGTGTAGCGTAGTGTAGTCTAGTTAGTGCAATGTGGTGTGGTGTAGTGTAGTGTAGTGTACTGTAGTGTACTGTACTGTAGTGCAGTGCAGTGCAGCGCAGTGCAGTGTAGTGTAGTGTTGTGTAATGTAGCGTAATGTAGTGTAATGTAGTGTAATGTAGCGTAATGTAGTGTAGTTGTAGTTGTAGTTGTAGGTGTAGTTGAATGTAGTGTAGTGAAGTGCGGTGTACTGTAATTAGCATAGTGTTGTGTAATGTAGTGTAGTTGTAGCTGCAGCTGTAGTAGTTATAGAAGTTGTCGTTGTAGTTATAGTTGTAGTGTAATTGGCGAAGTGTACTGAAATTAGTGTAGTGTAGTTCAAGT